AAGGACTTAGAAAGGTAGCGCGTTTAGCTATGGTGTGACTGCGTGTGACTTGCCGTATGGGAGAGCGGACGGAGTCTGGAGGCGACGCTGTTGTGTCGCTGATCTTCGTTCCTGTGCACTTTTGACCGGAGAAAGTGACACGCTACTGCAGATACCGACCCACTGACGTCACGCATGGCAAGGACCAGAATACACGGAAATGAATGTAGAGCTTGCCTTCAAAAGACAGGGCACCCTGAACCAAACGATTTGCACCACCCACCGGGCCACTCCGTCGACTTCGTAGACGCCATTGGAGATGCATGCAGTAAATACAGATATGGTAGCCAACTACTTACGAAATGTAGTTCCCAATTAAGTGGACCTGATGCTTACCTGACCTGACTGAAAGCGCTGCTTGCAATACGAGATGCCGCGAAAGCTCGGTGCCAGCTTAATGAATATACACACTCTTCCATTTCTCCTGCATCTAACAACAAATGGCTCTGATTTGCTGAGCCATTCCTTCCTGTTTTCAGAGACATAAGTCTTACTATCTTGAGAACTTCCTTGGTGATGATGGCGATGAAGAGAATGATGTTCCCGATGAAGAGATAGTCATTAAAACCAGGAGGTCAGCAACGTTATTTCCTCTATACATCCTCTTCCTGTCTTCTACGACTTTCTTAACGCTTTTTTAAGTCTGGCCATTCTTTTTCTTCTTATAGCAGTGACAGTGCTTCAGCTGATGCCATATTTCACGCTATGAGTATTAGCGGAGTTAGAGGTTTATGCTCTCCCTCATTGGTGCGCTTCGTTCCTCTCTGCTGTAGGAGGAGGGGCTGACCAATGAGGAAGACATAACTGTTCTCCTGACACGGAATAAAGGATCGGGAGACGGGCAAGAGAATCGTAATTTGCCGCTCCGCCGCGCGCGGCGATGGGCGCGGCGTTTTCTTAACTCGTGTTAACCTGTCGATTGGAGCACCGGACTTCATGTAGACCCCGTCATCGTAGACATTCATGACTATTTTCGGTTCTGAATTGCCTGTTGTCGCCATCTACTACCTGGAACCATCGTCATTTGCGGGCGCGACGTCGCACGCGACGCCCACCAGCGCGGTGAATTACGATTCTCTTGTCACGTACCCAGGGTTCTGAGATTCATTAAAATAAATAGGGTCTATGAAGAATTGTGAATCAAACTAATATGTAGCGCTGTATCAGGAGCACTGGAAAAATCTTCGAATCTGTTGATGACACCGGAAACAATGAAAAGCGCGAAGAATGCATGGAAACAAGGTCGTATCTGAACTAAGAGAATATTTCAATTTTTAGTAAAAATAGCCACTAATATACCATTTTAGCGACATGGCTGGAGTACACCAACCTGTTGCTTTTGATGCCGTTGACCATGAGTCTCCTGCTCCTTCTCATCACGATCACTTCCGTTCTCGTGTGAAGGTAGGCCCCGAGGAGCACATTCATTTAACGTACTACACCTAAAAACGTTTCAGATACAAATCGTCCACCATCCATTTGAACGCCGAAGATCTTCGTTTGCCATACACTAGCTTTTATAAACTAAATTCAGTCGTAATTGTTGTCACTTGGTCCAAACAATTTGATAAGGTGCAATCAAATCAACCTGCTGGACGATTTCCTTGTTCCCTTCAGTGTGCCACTGAAGGCTACGGCCGACAATATACAATCTTGTTCGCTGCGGAGGCTGGGGCGTTCCAGAAGGCTGGGTTTGGCGCCACACCAGCCCGTTCTCCACCATGTGTGATCGTCTGCGAACTTCCAGAATAGTTGAAGATTAGGCTGGCGCCGCGTCAAATCCAGGCCCTTTGAAACGCACCAGCGTTCGAACAACACTGCAACTTGAAACATTAGGAGGTTTCGGGATACTTGCTCCGTTGTACATCTAGCCCATTCTGGCAAATCAAGCGAAATCCTCGAGATATAGTCGAAAACCTCTTGAAGGCACAGTTCACGCTGATCGTATGGACTAAAACGGAGAATCGTCAACTCGTCTTCACTTGTTTAAACAGTCGGATCGCCTGGCGATCCTCCTTCCGCGTATGAAGTGGGTACTGCCCCAGACATTTTCCCCACACAAAAAAGTGCCCTAGACATTTTTCTAATGAGAGCCAGTCGGATCGATTGGTCAAAAAGTATTTTTTTTAAATTACCGAACTTTACCGTTCCATCCCTTGTATATACCCCCCCTGCCCCCCCTAGAAGACAGTCATCAAAATTTTCTATGCGGCACTCCCCTTAGTGATGAGGAATCGCAGAATAAACTATTGCCGACGGTACCAACCATTTGGTATACTCCCTACGGTTATCCCTCACTAACTTCATCTGCCAAACCATTGCTCAGTTTCACTTACTCCCCATTTCCTGGGGTTTTTCGGATGCGTTTTGAGGGTTTTTGTCCTCGGCACCGTTCACTTCGGCGAACGCCCCGCCCATCATGGGTGTGCCTCATTTCGTCCGCCAACTGATTGCCTATCGTTTGCCACATTTTCCGCTCTCCGGGCTCTTCTGGAACCGAATTATGAATTTTTGAAATAAGTAGCTCACAACTGTGCGCACGCCCCGCCCACAGTGGGCGGGGCTTAGCTCAGTTCATGTGTGTTGTTCATCCGTGACATCTTGGCCCATGCCCTACCCAACCCACCCTTGACCCCCGCCCCTCCAACTGGCTCTTCAGGTGATTCCGAATTTCCGGACAGACAGACAGACAGACAGACGTTGCCGTTTATATATAGTAGGATATTTTGTGAGAGGCAATCCAAGAGAAAGGCAGAAAAGTTGTCTGATTCACCCATACAGGTAGCGTGAACTGAGCTTTAAAGGCAGTTGGCACGATTAATCCCCTAGACGAGTAGGATTTATACGCCTGGCGAAGAGCAATTCCGTGCCCCCGAGCAGGCGCTATCGCTACGCCCAGGACCAAGGCCGAATCTTGGACCGATCTCGTGCCACCGAGCCCCTCAGACCTCCCCTCTCTCTGGGGTTGTTCGGTTGCCGGTTTCTCAGAAGGGATTCCTGAGCCTAAAAATCACTGACATACCCATTGGCTAGCCACGTTGGTGTCACTGTGAAGAAAAGATCATGCAATTCGAAACTTCGCCGCGAATATGAGTAGGATTAAAAGCTATGTGGCGCATTTGAAAAAGTACTTATAAACGACAGAAAGTCCTTCGGCCTAAAATTTGCCAACGACGTACCATAATAATTTTATATTTATGCACTTCTTATGAAATTTATTAAATTCATACTCGGCAAATATATAATGCACGAAGTCTGCTAAAAGCAAATCACGACATAACCCATAACGCTTATCCGAAACTTATTAATAACATTACAACACATAAAAGCAATGTGTTTACAACCAAAACAAAAACATCAGATAATAAACACTAATAAAAAAATGCTTACAAACAGCTTTCAAAGCATCTAACTTTCATATCTTACTATATATAAACGGCAACGTCTGTACGTTTGTCTGTTTGTCTGTTTGTCTGTCTGTCCGGAAATTCGGAATCACCTGAAGAACCAGTTGGAGGGGGCGGGTCAAGGGTGGGTTGGAGCGTTAGGGCATTGGGTCAAGATGTACGGAACACACATGAACTGAGCTAAGCCCCGCCTACTGTGGGCGGGGCATGCGCACAGTAGTGAGCTACATAGTTCAAAAAATCGTAGTATCGTTCTAGAGATCCCGGAGAGCGGAAATTGTGGGAGACGATAAGCAGTCAGCTGGCGGATGAAATGAGGGAGTCACACCCGTGATGGGCGAGGCGTGCTATAGATGGGCGGTGCTCGCTACAAAACTTTCAAAAATTCGTAGTTAGGTTCTAGAAGATCCCGGAGAGCCGAAATTGTGGGAAAAAAAAAATAAATAAAATAATAAAAAATACGATAGGCAAACAGTTGGCGGACGGAATGAATGAAGCACACCCGCGATGGGTAGGTCGTTCGCCGAAGTGAACGGTGCCGGGGACAAAAACCCTTAGAAACATCCGAGTGCCACGGAAATGGGGGCAGTAAGTGAAAACTGAGCAGTGGGGTGGGCCCACGATGAAGTGTAGTTAATGGTTATTAGGGAACAATTTTTTTTCGACCATTCGGGGCCGATCCGACTGGCCCTCCCTCTCATGGAAAACTTCTCACCGGGACCCACTTCACACCCGGAAGGAGGACTGGCCCTCCCTCTCATGGAAAACTTCTCACCGGGACCCACTTCACACCCAAGAAGGACGGGCCGATCCGACTGGCCCTCCCTCTCATGGAAAACTTCTCACCGGGACCCACTTCACACCCGGAAGGGGATGGCCCTCCCTCTCATGGAAAACTTCTCACCGGGACCCACTTCACACCCGGAAGGAGGATCGGCCCTCCCTCTCATGGAAAACTTCTCACCGGGACCCACTTCACACCCGGAAGGAGGACTGGCCCTCCCTCTCATGGAAAACTTCTCACCGGGACCCACTTCACACCCGGAAGGAGGATCGGCCGGCGAAGCCGGCCGATCCGACTGGCCCTCCCTCTCATGGAAAACTTCTCACCGGGACCCACTTCACACCCGGAAGGAGGATCGGCCGGCGAAGCCGGCCGATCCGACTGGTACACACAATGAAATCCTTACCAAAAAAAGACGAAAAGATAGGAAATTTGGTCGATAAAAAGAGAAAAAAATCTGAAAATTCAAGGCAGAAATCCTATAATCATCTTATTACAGTCATATCTACCCATCAGAAGGAAATCAATAATAGACTTCGACTAAGCCTAAGAAAACATCACAATGATTAAATGAACCGTACAAGCTATAGAATAATATGCTCGATAGAAGTGAAGTAGAGCGATTTCCAAGAAATAAAAAAGGGGCTAGGGCCGTTGGGAGGGGGTGTCACGCGACGGACAAACCACGCCCACTCTGCTTGTCTGCGCTTTCTGAGCCCTTCTCGTCCGCGCCCTCTACTCCTCTCCCTTAGCCCCCCCCCCCTAAAGAAAAAGAACATGCACAACTAAAAGCATTCAACCACTCACGTTTACAAGAAACCTAACGATATTCGCTTCACTGGTACTGAATCATTAACCACCCGGTTTACAGGAAAAAGAAGATGAAGGGGTCTAGTTTCCGAACTAAACAGCACAGAACAAAAATGTGGTCGAAAATCGATAGATATGTTTGTCACAGTTCATGTCCATGTGAAAATAACAGACCTCAGTCTACTTCAACTTGTTCTTCAGCTTTGAGGGCTACAACGAAGAAACAGACTGCAGCACTCGCTGCTCCAAGACACAACATAAGAAGTTGCCAGTGAAGTAGCAGGATAGAACTGTAGTAGAAGGAAGCACATGCTGCTAGTGACTGAAAAACGTCATGGTTACTAAACCTTTACTGTTAAGGACGGCAAACGAAAGAAGCACCGAAAAGGAAATCCGATTTTCTCATTTTTTTCCAAAGTTCAAACTTCAGAAAGTAGCCTTTCCACAGATCCTACGGGCCAAGAGAAGAGCGACTCTAGAGCGGGACTCGTGATCTAGTATAGGTTACAACATCGCAGTCAGTCGGAGGCGATGCGGCGGGATTAGCCCGCCTCCAGCTACCTTGCTCTACCAATGGTGATCGGCTTGTGATCAATTGAGGAAGGAAACAAGCAGTGATGGCCAGGCCGCAGGTGGACCACTTCATCCCTCTGGAAATCGACCCAGAGGGCTGACCCGACTGGATGCGATAACACCAACTCTACGTGATGGTGTAGCGACACCAGTGTGGTTAAAATAAGGGACGGAGGGAACGAGCAAGAGGAGGGGACCAAGACGAAGCAGACCGCACTCACTGGTCGTATTTGCCGTTCAAGCTAAGCCCGAGAGAAGAGGATCAATTCCGAAGAGAGGGTGCACATGAGCAGATATATTCGGGCCGCTGGGTCGCTCCGAACTTCATTTCATACAGGCACCACGACCACTGAAAAAGCAGCCTACTAACAGGGCACCACGTCCTACACACTAGGAACTGGTCCTAATGCCCCCCTGCGCGCTCGTAGGCAAAGTTTCGGGGGTTTGGTAACGACAGTGAGATCGCTGGGGGAAGGGCTTATATCGAAGGAGGAAAGGGGAAGGGCGGTCGTATTCAGCATAAATTCCATTCCACGCCTTTCAAGATTCAATTTGATAAGAAAACGAACAATTCGTAAACTTAAGTTTGCAAAGCTGGAGAGAGCCCAGTTCGATAAGATTTCATGGAAACCATACCTGGAAAAACTTGAAAAGGGCAAAAGCACACGATGATTCGTCCTTGTATGCCACACCAATTAAGCGTGTAAATCTGGGTGTTCCAGCACGAATCAGCAAGGCCGAGGAAGTAACCAGTCACAATTGCGATGAAAACGCTGTAATTAGGAAGTACTGAAATAGAGATCTTTCAAATTTTAAACTATTCAAACGAATCAAATGTTGTACAGCACTGGCTCAGGCGGTTAAAGGGTGACGTCATTTTTGTACAAAGTCGTCACAACAACAAAAATGCTGCCAAATAACTTCGAGCTAGATCGTGATCTGACAATTGTAAAACGCCAAATAGTACTTACTCAGCTTACTTAAAGACATGAGAGACAAGACATGACAAGACAAAGTCATGCTAGTAAATCGCCGCTATTGGATTGCATTGTGAATTCGTACGTGTTTGCTGACAAATAACTAGAGAAAAGCGCTAACGAAACTGTCGGAGACACCTCGAATAAGGCCCGGCCGATCATTAGCTTTGGGTGAGCCTGCGACGATTCGATAGGCAGAGACACCTAGCAAGATACACTCCTTATCCCTGAGCCAGAGTAGGCGTGGCATTTGAACATGGCACGGAACTGGTTACTCGTGGAATATTCCAGTCTGGGACAACTGTCATCTTGTTCTTGTTGGACAGAGACACGACAACAGTTGTGTCAAGATGGAAATATTCCACCAGAAGCATAGACACCTTCAGGTTAAGTTGAAGAATGCAGCCCCGCCTACCCGATCTCAGGGATCTCGAGTATACCAAACGGTTGTGAACCAGCGCCACGCACAAGCGCGAAAAAATCCACCACAAATCTACGCGGCAGACTTACGTTCATGCTCAGTTTCAATCAGGTATGGCGGGGTTTCTGGCAATGATAAGCGCTGCCTGCGCTTCTTGTACATGGTCAACATTTTAGCACTTAAGTCGGGAGCGTTACTTCCCAGTCGCGGCCAGTGGGACGACGTAGACGTCACAAGAGGGGATGATGTAAGTAGTATTCACACCAGGACCTAACCCACTCAACGTAGCAGTGCCTTGGCGCATCGATTCTCTCTGCGTCTGCGTCTGTCAAGTCAACTTTCTCGCTGCCGGTGACTGTTCAGTGAACTACTTAGGAAATACTGCCGCTAGGGCATCCAGTGCTACGACTGGAATGTAACGCTTCACACCCTCAGCAGTCTTATTATCGTGGAATGTGTCTTCGGCTATACAAGACTACTAGTACTCGAATAACACAATAGCCGTTGTCAGCACTATGAAACTTGAGCTATATAGCCTGGGAATTGAATAATTCCAGCTCACCTTGGTTCAATGTACCCAGTAGCCGAGGTTTTATGCAGAGGAGCCTCCATCGGTAGATTGAGGAAGCATAAAAAGAAAGCGGTGATGTGAAGAATCATACCAAGAATGACGATTTGTGAACGATTTAACTTGTTACTGCGGGGAAATACACCAAATAGTAAGCCGCCTGAAAGAAAAAAATCTCGGATCAGTAGCAACCCAAGATGTTTCGCGCCCAAGCAACATACCGCTGATCTGTCCAGCTCCCATTGTGAACACCACATAAGCAATTATTTTTTCTGATCCACCATTCAAAGCGGTCGCAGCAGAAAGACATGCTGTGAACACTCCTAAAAATTCATAAAATAACTAATCATTCCATTTTTACATTACTGGAAAATAGTACCTGTATAAAAGGAGGTTTCGATACCGCTATACAAAAAGCACACTGATAAGAGTATCATGTCCCTGGTGGCAAGAAGTGAGAATGTGTGCTCTGGATGGATATGAATGTACGTTCAAGTACTATTACTACTCTAAAACCTCGCATTGTCATGCCACAGCTTTGCCTATGGAGGTTACTCAGTGTTCTGGTCACGAATATGACCTTCGTTTTAGATGGGGGCTCTATTTGACGCCGCCACATTTTTCAAAGAATGTTATATAAACTTCCATGCTGAAGTTATTTGTCCTTAGATTACGAATAGAGCATCTGGCGCCAATTTCAACTCCCCCTCCCTGCCTCCCTTACTGAAATCGGTATAAACTTGCACACTGAGGTAATTTCGAATTTAGATCCCAAGCAAGTCATTAAATTTCATCTCCGGCGCTATATGGCGCCTTAATAGGGTCGGCGAAGACTTGGCGTCACAACGCTCTCACCGAATTTTCGACGTGTTACATTAATTACTATGTTGGGGGTCCCGATCATGATTACGACATTCGCCTTTCAACGCCAGCGCCACAAAGCGCTCTGCTTAGGCTAAGCAAGGGAGACCCTGATTCCCTGTCCCCGAACTCAACCTTAACACATTGACGACAGCGTGAGACACATTGAATGCACGCGTTGTAGGCCATGTGGGACAGCGTGCATACTATACAACTCACGATCAACAAATCCATATCTTTCAACAGTGCATGGTTTTTTAGTTAGTTTCTCTTAATCATTGTATAGTTCAGACCCTGGTGTACTCGTACTATGCGTAGTCCATGGAATAATTCAGTACACACTAGTTTAGCAAATACTTTTTGGGTAAAGATCACCATTTGCTCGGACTGATTTGCTCTTCAACACTGGAATGGTTTGCTCTCCAACACTTAGCTGAGAAATGCTGATCGATACAATGTTGATAATGGTAAAAATTATAGGGTGAAGGATTCTGAACGCTATAGAGGGCACGACACTTTTTTTTATGAAAACATTGGTTGCGGACGAATTTCTGGCATCTAGTGCAACGAGAGTTAGCCAGCCAGGTTTTTTCTATACTGAAGTATTAACTTACTTCATAACTGCGCTCTAATCCGATCCAATTTCCAAAAAAGCGCCTCGTGGGATCGTGTGTGAAGCTATGCTGTGTTGCCGCAGCGCCGGTTGCGTTCGAGAAAACGCGCGTGTCCCACGGGGCCAAGAAGTAAAAACGCGCGCATGTCGTCAACGTGTTAATGGAGCGCAGACGACCAGAGTGTCTTACGCTGACGCCTGCCTAGAAGAGAATGTCACATTCACGGTCAGGACGCTAAATACCCCCTCTCCTCGCATACAAGTATACACCATTCTTTGATGAAAAGGGAGATAGCGTCAAATTGGTTCGGCCCGCTCTTCAAACAGAATATGAGACCTTTTTTTTTTTTCATTCACGACAAAAAGTAAACCTAAGTAGACATTTGCAATCGCAATTTTGTCTGAGTTGTGATGGAAAAGGTAGTGGCGCCAAGTCAGCGCCAGCACCACTTTGACGTCAAGTGGCGCCAGCACCAAAAACGGATGTCATCTTCGTGAACCGGATAACCTCTATAGGCGAGGTTTCAGCAGGTCAATTTCTTGAAATTCTGGGGTAGAAGAGTTCAGTAGTGCATAATATAAGGCGCTGTTCGCATTGGGAGGGGCATTCGACTTTTTCGGTAGTTCCTTTCGCAAGTTTATGTCAATTCATTACCGAGACATGTAAGCTCCTGTGAAGCTGCGAAGTGGCGGCAGTGGGCCACGAATTCACAGGTCTTCACAAAAAAGGTTGAACTAGCCTTACTACAACCATTTGGGGCCCCCCACAAAGCGAACTGCGCCTTATATAACATAACGAGAGTAGCAACGAAGTGATTCCAAGAGTCGAACTTACTAAATTCTTCGCGCCAGTCACGAGTAGGGCTTATGTCGACAGAAGCTGAAACATCCAGCTCATCCGTGTTTTCATCAAAAAGTGGATCTTGGAGGCTTTCGTCTACTAGAACAAATTCCCGACAGCAGTGAAGCTATCAATCTCACCAAGCCATGCATAAAGGAACTGAAACCCATTCATAATAGCTGCTCACTCACAATTAACCGGCGGAGTCGATGGGAGAAGGCACAGTGTGATGATGCCAAACGTTGATACAACTGCGAAGGCACTGTAGAGGAAGCGATACGAGGAATAGAGATCACTGAAAAGCGTCCCTAGTCGCTTACTGATCATTAAAAATGCTGAAACATGCGACAAGTGCAAAATGCGCCTGTGACTGGTGATTGAGCATAACCAACCAATCACAAACACCTTTGCCGCACAACGAACAAATCAAGGCGACAAGGAGACAAACGCATGAGACCAAAAAGTCCCTTCTATATCTTGAAGAACCTACTTACCCGTAACTGAGAACAAAGAAGAGAAAAATCGCTCCCGCGACGAGTGACGACTGCAGCATTGCCCAAAGTATGCCGCTATTTCGACCCATTTTTCCAAGACGAGAGAACTGCACCAAATATGCGCCATTTGCAGTCCAGATCACTGTAACAGAATCGACGTGCGATAAAGGGCCATTTTCTTAAGGTGGGGTTCATAATTTGCGAATTGGCACATTGTGTGAAAAGGAAAGTACAGGTAACAATCTGGCGTTCTGGAAGATTCTGCGCTTCAAGCGAAAAGGAAAGCATACTTACTGGTCGGTGTCCTGAGCGCCAGTTTTCTTAAAACCCAAGAAGGCGCTGTTTATCGACGGGGGGGGGGGCATTTTGTATTATAATTGCTTCCCTGGTTCCGGATCTCACTCTGGTAAAACTTGTGAACGCTTGTGAAGCTGGAGCAAGATCGTCTAGCCACCATCCTAAAAAAGGGTACCTAGATGGGTTGGCAAATCTATGAAAAGCAGAATGCCTCCCCCTCGATAAACAGCGCCCCACAGAGCACTTATTCTGCCAGGACACTAGCGAACGGAGCCATTCGATACCTATGCTATCCTTCACGCTAAAGACGCCGTTTCTCCTAGAGGGGAGGGTCGGAAAGTATGAACGAAACCTAATCCCTAGACGACGAGACAGCATACCGCAGTAGCGCTCGGTACACGGTGAGAGTGCGTTCGTACTTTACGTTTTGAGCGTCTGTCAGCATTATGAGCGTTTTCAGCGACTGGGAAAGTATAAATATCAACCCAGTGTTCCGTGTATCTGCCAGCTGTTTCAGCGACTGCGAAAAATGGGTATCTATTCAGCGTTATGAGCTGCCGACGTTTTGAGCTTCCGGCAGCTTCCTGTCTCTACTTCCTTGTAGTTCAAAACGCTCAAAACAGTGAAAGTGCTAACGCTGACGCTAGGCTAATGCTTGACTTTCCTAGCCGCTAAAACGCCTAGCAAAGTATGAACGCACTTCAATGTCGAGGAGATCGCATCATGGGGCAGACACTGTTGCCGAGCCATTTCCTACTTTGCATATTGGACGACATTTTGTACTTATTTTGTTAAACCTATGACCTCACAAGAAACGACTTTGAACAGATGATTGCAGCCCCATAGTACTATAGCTATTTAGATGAGAAAGGGGGCTTTCTCATCAAGTGAAAAGTGGCTTGCCCACCCTTGAGTGGCAATCGTTCCTCAGCATCCTCCACCCCACCATTTATGTAGTTTCCACACACTGTTTTTGTGAAGAAGGTAAAACTGTAGTCGTTTACTTTACATGATATTACATAGCGATACAAAATGGGAATGTTGACAGGAAATAGTAAAATGGGGTTTAGCGTCCTCCAAGGTGGTAGCGGCTACTCTACGTCCTTCTGTGGATGCGTTCATACTTAGCGCCTTGGCATTTCGGGAGAATCAGCGTTTTGAGCAAAAAGGACATTATAGGGATCGATCGGCGCCCGACAAGCCGGTTCGTTCAAAACGCCGATCCCCAAGACGCTAGCGGCCGGCGCCGATCGATACTTGTATAAACATTCTGCTCAGAACGCTGATTTTCTCAAAATGCCACATACACAGCTATAGTTTATTTTTGCTCTGAACACTATTTCTCCTTAAACC